TACATTTAAGGTTTTGCTCAGAGGGAATGTTGTGTCAGACAAATACTTTCAAATGCAAGTGAGGCACTTTCTGTGTTCCTTTATTATCGGCATTGACAAGGCTCTAGGCCAGTGGACTTTATTTTATGTGCTGAAGGAGGTTATTTGGCCATCATAGTTTTACAGCTTTATTTTAATGGAATCAATTATGTCTCAAATGCAAGCAGCAGCCTCCTTTTACTGAGTGCTTACTTGGTGCCAAGAAATTTAACCAACAATTTATTTTGCAAACACTTGAACAGGACCATGTACCCTGGTCTTAAGTACTCTGCAAATATTAATTCAAGTAACAACCACTATGAGATATGAACTTGTGCCATTCCCCCTTTACAGATAAGGAAACTGAGAACGGGGGCAAGGCGGGTAGTGAGAAAATGTCTCCAGATCAGTAAGCCAGTAAGCGGTACGCCAGGATTCATTCTCAAGTGGCCTGTTTATTACCTACTATACTGAATTGCCTCCTGTTCTTAAGTAATTATTAATCTCTATACACTGTTCCTGAAAAGCATAATAATTTCCAGTTAACAGAACAGAAGCCCTGGCCTGGAGAGGTTAATTAACCTAGCCAAGGCGACAGATTCAGATGGCATCACCAGAGTTTGTATTGGCATTGCCTGTTACCAACCTCAGGATCTAAGTACTGATAAGTCCTAAAAGTCTCTGAATTATGGTAATTAAAAAAGACCTATTTTTATTATTTTAAACTATTGTGCATATGTACATGCATGTGTACAGAGTCCAGAAGAGGGTGCTGGACCTCTTGGAGCTGGTTACAGACAGTTGTGAGTCACTTTGTGGGTGCTGGGAACTGATGCGTCCCTGGAAGAACATCATGAGCTCTTCACTGCTGAGCCATCTCTCCAGCTCTGAGTTGTAGTTATTTTCTGAAAACTTCCTCTAAGTAACTAATATATTTGAATCACAGGTATTACTATGAAACTTTCAAAATGTGAAAGTTGGAGACTAAAACTAAAGAAAACTTACTTTAATGCATTAAAAATCATTAGCCATGATGTTGAGGAAGGAGCAGTGCTGTAAGTACAGAATCCCTGAAAGACTGCTGTTCTGTTTCAGCCTTTCCCCTCAAATGCCCCAAGCTCCTATTTCATGAAGGGTGGAGGCCTCATGATTGGGACAACCTGAACAGAGCTGAGGGTGAACCCATGGTTCTGCACTGTTGAGTTATTATTACAGGAAGCATAAGCTAAAAATTAATCTCAGAGCCATGCTTCTGTATTTATGAAAACTAACCAAGATTTATACTTTTAGCTGTGCGGTGGTGGCTCATGCCTTTAATTCCAGCACTTGGGAGGCAGAGGCAGGCAGATTCTGTGAGTTCAAGGCCAGCCTGGTCTACAGATGAGTTCCAGGACAGCCAAGTCACCCCCCCCGCCCTACCTTGAAAAATCAAAGGAGGGGGGGAATTCAGACTTCAATTTCTGTCTTTTAAATATAGGCACATTTTAAATGAAAATTTGATTTTGATTTGCTCTTTGAACTTTAACACAGGTGGCCTAAAAGATCACACTTAGCAAATTATAGAGATCTTAATAAGTAAAAGAAGCAGGGGAAAAGTTAATAAATTTAGCAATAATTCTGTCTTTTTTTCTTTTGATTTCTTTACATATAGTCCCACAGAACAAGTGTGGTACATTTCTTTAAAAGTCAAGAATTCCAAGATATCAAAGGATTACATTCTTAAATGTAAGCAGGGCCATTAAAGCTATAAGTTCTTTTGATAAAGAGCAATTATTGGGTGGGGGATTATTTAAAAGACAAGTTTCTAATCTGACCTATCCCTTCTGGCCCACCAAGCTCCTGCCAGTGATAGAGCAGTACATCTCAGCCCTTACCAGAGAAACTTCTTTTTACAATAGATAGTAACACAGAGGTCATATCTGGTCAATGTGCAGAGGATAAGACTGCTGTGGTCCAGTCCTAAGTGAGACGTGTATACCACACCTCCTCCCCTCAAGGCTCAAGGATCATCCTGGAGGGGAGGGGGATGTAAGAGCCAGATGTAGTGGATCTCTGCAGCAAAACAGTACTTGCTGTTATACACATGAACTCACAGAGGCTATGGCTTCTTGCACAAGACCTGTACAGATCAAGCTGGCCAAAATCTCAGCATGTACAGGGGCGGGGGACTCATGAAGTTCCACTCCCAGCAGCAAGAGCTATTCACAACTGATGGCTGCTGGGGAGGTAGAGTCAGTTTTCTTCAGGGACATATAGCTTCTGAAAGGCTATCTTGTTCCAATAGAGGACCCCACACACAAATAGACAGCACTAGGTGGACACAGTAAGGGGGGGGCAACACATGACATTGGGAGGGAAATGTGAGCGATAGATTTGATCAAGATACATTATATGTATTATGAAATTTTTAAACAGTTACAACCCCTACAAAAAAAGTTTAAAAAATATGTCTAAACTTTACACATGGAGTCCTTCATGATCTGTCCCAACTGACAACCTGACCAGTTCAGGTTCTTTCCTATCAGTTTTCAATGGTACTTGGCATAGCTCCCTAGCTGGAGCCTATAGCTGCCTGAAGTAGTCTGGATTTCTCAGACTGTGGAACACAAACTCACATAGGGATTCCACTTGATGACTGACACTTGATGCCTGGAAAGAACAGAGGAGTGGCCAGAGATCTCTCTTGGAACTGTAGAGCTGCTGCTGATTACCTGTGCTGCCTCAGAAAGTTATCTGACCTTCTTGCATTTGGTTTTCCCATTAAAAAACAAAACAGGCAAACAAACAAAAATGCTGGTGATAGCTATGCAGCTTCCAAGTGTGCTGTGAAAATGAATGACTAAGAACTCAGCAGAACACCTGAAAATAGCAAGGGCTTAATACAATGTCAATTGTCACTAGCTGAACCAAAGGGAACAATTCTAGACACCTGACATTTTACCTATCTTCCATATAATTAAGAAAGCCTTGAAGCGTTCATATTTATTTAAAAGCAAAAATAAAAACAGCAAACCCCAACAAAATGCAAACTTAATGCTGTATAACATCAGGCACACTGCACTGACCTACCTATAGTTTAGGCAGTATTATAGTAAAAATAGACAAAAGTTTATTTTCACCTTGAACAATAGTCTGTATTTCGTATTTACAAGGTTTTTTGAACACCTTGTAAATCTCAGGGTTCAAATTTAAAGTCTCAACACCTTCCCCTTTTCTATACAGAGGGCTTTTCTGTAAAAGGTAATTTTAAGGCAGCTGATACTTTTAAGAAGAAAATGAAAAAAATAATCCAGAAGATAAAGCTGGCAAAAATAAGTAAAATGAATGAGGCCAAACAGAAAGTAAAACAAACAAACAAATAAATAAAATAAAATAAAAGATGATGGAGGGCAGGAAATCCCAGAAATGAAAGTAGTAAACACATAAAAACTAAGATCTTAAACCAACAACCCCTTATGGAAACAATGTTACTATGTATTGCATTTTTATAACAAAAAGTTACAAATCAGAAGTCACTCCTCCCCTTCACCAGTGCAGTTCCAGGACTATTCCATACACTAAATTTTCCTGTGTTCAGCTCTCATGCTTGCAAGCCATCTCCACGCTATTGCCAGAGTTTGTTGATATGCAAAGTTAATTTTGTACTCTAATCCCACTTATCCATACTCTAAACTTCAATAGCTTTGATTCCCATTAATTATGAAATAGATGCTCAAACCTCTGACAAGACATTCAAGACCGTTACTACTCTGTCTCCTAAGCTGCTCCTCCTCTACTGCTCCCTTTGTGAATATGAAGCTAAGATCTTCATCCCAGTCTCCATCTGCCTGACTATGGTTTCTGCTTCTGCATTTCTGGCAAGCAGTTAAAACTCTTTCAGGCATAAATTCAAACACTTCCTGATCTAGGATACTTCCCTGGCTCTTCAGGTTGACTGATGCTCCATTACTTAAGTTTCTGTCCAAGTTGGTACATAGTTAGACCCTTGCTACTTTTGTATGTGGTACAGGGGAACTGAATTCCAGGTTCTTGCATATGTCAAGCAAATGCTCTCTCGCTGAGCTCTATATATCCCCAGCTCTGTACATACTATTTTTCTGTATATGTACAACTGAAGGTATAATTGACATAAAAACTTCACACAATGTGAAATTTTGATATATGTATATGCTGTGAAATAATTTATACACATCCCATTATATTTAGCATAGTATAATGCCTGGCATATATTTTACCACATATGAGTGAGTTTTGACTATATGAATTAAGAAATTCATATTGTTAACTTTAATCCCAGAATTTGGGAGACAGAGGCTGGTAAATCTCTGTGAGTTCAAGGACAAACTGCTCTACATACTGAGTTCCAGACCAGCCAAGGCTACATAGTAAGACACTATCTCAAAAGGCAAAGATTAATAAAAGAAGAAGAAAAAGAAACGCCTATTAGGAAATTTAATTATTTTTAATAATTGAGTTGGGCATGGTGGTTAATGCTTGTAATTTCAGAACTTGGGAAGCAACTATCCTAAATTGCCTGGGCTACATAGTGTGAGGCCAGTCTGGGCTAGATGAGACCCATAAACAAACAAACACCCATCATCAACAGAACCGTACACACATGCACAGAAACGCGTGTGTGATATGTCTCTGTGTTGTTCTCAATCTGCTTCTATTGCCTTTTCTTTTCCTTTTGCATCCTCACTACAGCCATTAGCATTAGAAGAGAAGCCAGTTAGAGTCAGTAACCAGAACTTCTGGCCCTCTCCAGCCATCCAAAAGGTCTCACTTTTGTCCAACAACCTCCCAAGAAATCAGACCACTTAGTACAGTCCTGCCCTGTATACGTTAATAGTAAACACATTTTCTTTTTTATAGCCACACACAGGTAAAATCTTGCTGAAGATTGACTCTGCTTGCAAGGCTCTCTCCACACAGACAAAGACTCTCATCTGGTCATTTCCCAGGCACAGCACCCCAGTTACCTGCTATTTTGATATTCATGTTGTTATCCAACAGGAGATTTTCAGCTTTCAGGTCACGATGCACAATTTTTCGGCCATGGCAATAATCAACAGCAGACAGAATTTGCCAGAATTTTCTCCTGGCTTCGGATTCATTTAACCGGCCATGATTAGCAAGATAATCTGTAAAAGAGAACATTTAGAATCATTTACCAAAATAAAATAACCTCAATATTAGCATTTAAGAAAATTTTGACAAAGTTTGTTTAATGAAAAATTACTGTTCTAATAACACAAATAATGTGTTTTCCAAGTTTCTTGCCTTTGGAAAAGTAATCTCAACTAATTTTACTTTGAATATATAAAACAACCTGGTACTTAGTATGAGGTCAACATTAAAACTAGATGATATGACATAATCAGAAGTCTTCCATCCTGGTTCCCCTCTTCGGTCTATAGGTAACTTTTTGGATTTTGGTGTCTTTTGGTGTTTCATTTTATAATAATAAAAAAATGCCCACAATTGTCTTTTTCCTACCTTTTACATAAGAACCCATAAACAAACAAACAAACTTTCCCTTTCAAACTTCACGAAAACTTCTCTTTTCTTTTAGTTCATTATAAACATTTCTCATATTTAATATAATTATGTAAAACTGAGGGCTCAGACAGGGTGAGTTGACATTTATCTCTGTCCCCAGGAAATAATTTCAAGGCCAGGCTTAGCTACATAAGACCTTGCCTCAACCTCACACCAACACTTTCTCAAAAAGGAGGGGTGGCGTGTTCAGGAGCCAGGCTGCCAGAGTTTAAAATCTGTCATAGTTGCTGACCATGTGATCTTGAACAAAATGCAATCTCTATAACCCTCCAATTGCTAATAAAAAATGGGCTCATAAGAGAATTCCTACAAGGTTATTTATAAAGATTAAACAACAACAACTTTCAGTTTAAATGGAGAAAACCATGGTATAGGTATAGAAGTCTTCAAAAAAAAGCATTACTCCAACGGTAACTTACTATTGTTGTTGCTATTATACTACCAGGGTTGATTCAGGCTACCTCCCTTTTCTACCCATCTGCCTTTTGTGATGTGGTTTCTATGCTTCACACCTCACTGAAATTGCTTTAAGGTCAAGGGTAAATCCCCTACGTTAAATCCATTATCCTTTCTCAGTTCCCAACTTTGAAGGCCTTTCAATTATATTAACACTTAGCTGGTCTCCAACTTAAACACCTCTCTCTATTGGTTCTGTAATTTCTTGGTTGTCTTCTATTTCTTTCACTAATGTGTTCTTACTCCTTTTCAAATTACAAGAAGCTACTACATTCTAGTTGGGTCATCACCTCTTCCTTCTCCTTTTTTTTTTCTTTTTGATTTTTTGAGACAGGTTTTCTCTGTGTAGCCCTGGCTATCCTGGAACTTGCTCTGTAGACCAAGCAGGCCTCAGAGATCTGCTTGTTTCTGTCTCCTGACGGCTGGGAATGCTCTTTCTTCCTTCTTTAAAACAATGTTTTCAAGGTTCATCCCAGTCTAGTACACTATTTTGGATTTTTTTTTAAGATTTATTTTTATTTTTATTTTCTGTGTGTGTGCCCACAGAGGCCAGAAGCAGGTATCAGATAACCTGGAACTGAAATTATGACTGTGAGCTGTCATGTGGGTGCTAGCAACACCAAAGCCAGGTTCTCCGCAAAAGCAGCAAGTGCTCTTAACTGCTGAGTCATCTCTCTAGCCCCAAGGCTTACTAATTAATTAATTAATTAATTAAAAATTTAATGTATGAGTGCTCTGTCTGCATGCCAGAAGAGGGCATCAGATCCTATTATAGATGGCTGTGAGTCACCATGTGGTTGCTGGGAATTGAATTGAGGACCTCTGGAAGAGCAGCCAGAGCTCTTAACTGCTGAGCCATCTCTCCAGCCTTGGGTCTTTTGTTTTTTGAAGATTTATTTGTATTAGTTTTTATTTACATGAGTGTGTGTATGTAGGCCACATGTATGTGTGCTGCTGTGACATAAAGTGTCTAAAAGAGGAACAGAGATCACATAAAGGTGATCCCAGCACTAGGGATCACACACCTTTAATTCAGCACTAGGGAGGTAGAGACAGGAGTGATGTGGCTGGGTGGTGTGGAGAGCGCAATATAATGAGGGAGGAGACAGGGGCTCAGTGCAGTCTGAGATTTAGTGGAGACAGATGGAGTCTGGAGATACAGTCTAAGGATAGGATCACCCCTTCGGTCTGAGCACTGGTAGAGGTAAAATAACTCTCTAGTGGTTGGCTTCTCTGCTTCGCTGATCTTCAGCATTAACCCCTATATCTGACTCTGGGATTTTAGAATTCATGCTACAGATAATTGATCAGAGGTTCTTAACCAACAAATCTGCGAAGATTTCCTATTTCTCAATTTGCAGAGAAACAGTGCTTTAGGAATATGGAGGAAATAAACCCCAGAGTTTTGACAAGGCAATGAAAACTGGCTAATTTGTGTTTTTTCTCAAAAATTTAAAGATCCATTATTTTCTCCTCTAAAAAAGATTTATTTATAACTACATATATATTTGTATGTGTCTTGAGTGGATTTGTGTACCACAGTATGCAGGAGTGCAGGTGACCAAGGAGTTCAGAAGGTGGCACTGGGTACCTGAAGCTGGAGTGGCAGGCAATTATTAGCTGCCTGATGTGGGTATGGGAACCAAACTCAGGTCTCCTCTGCAAGAACAGTAAGAGAACTGAGCCATCTCCTCCTTATTTTCAGTTCCTATAACCAGATCTTATATTTTTCCCAAGTTATTTCAATTAGAATTAAAATATTATATAAAACAAGATCACATTATTATTAAATCAAGACTCCAGTCTGTCAACTTAGTTCTCACTGGTTCTTATCAATCTTTGATAAAGTACAAGAAAGGAAGGTCTATTAAATAAAACCCAAAAAATATTTTAACATATTAGATGTACTATATAGCATGTGACTTCTAATAGAAGATAAATTAGGTATGGGACCTGTGTTGAGATAGAATAGTCTAGATTATCTTAATTTTATATATTTGGTTTAAAAATAATTTATAAAATCAAATTATATTCAACTTTTAACATTGAGACATTTGTGAATATAAACTACAGATTATAAACCTCATTTTATTCTGCTTATTTTTGTAAGCACATAATTATTTCAAATTATGTGTTTGACAAAAATTAAGGAAATTGTTGCCTGTGGTATACTCAAGCAGTTTAATTGTGTTCAGCAATTTCCCTCCGTTAGGCTGTTCACATCTGTTACTCTTCACTCAGTTCTAGTTGCATGGAGCTACTGAAGGAAACTGTGTTCTTCTAAGAAGTAAAATGAGGTTTTAGTTACATACTTTTTTTATTTGAGATAGGGTCTCAGTATGTTGCCTTTGCCTACCCTAGAATCATTATGCAGATGGGGCTGGCTTTGAACTCATAGAGATCTGCCTTCCTCTGCCTCTAGAGTGCTGGGATTAAAGACGTGTGTGCTACCATGCCTATCTAATTATACACTTTTTTATTTTAAAGGTTATTTACTACTGGCTTCCATGTGCTAGTGTTCAATTTTTTCTAAAATTATGTATAACTCTTAAACAAACCAAGAAAGCAAAAAATACAACAATAATAGATATCAAATATAAGCTCAAAGGTTTTTCCCAATAAAACACAGGAGTAAAATAAACTTCTATGACTATTTTTAAAGTAAAAAAAACCTAGACGGACAGTGGTGGCACACACCTTTAATCCCAGCACTTGGGAGGCAGAGGCAGGCAGATCTCTGTGAGTTCGAGGCCAACCTGGTCTATAAGAGCTAGTTCCAGGACAGGCTCTAAAAACAGAGAAACCCTGTCTCAAAAAACCAAAAGAAAATCCCTAAATATAATAGAATAAAGTTCTAGGGTCAGCTATACCTTATTTTGAGTCCTGGCTCTATGTCCCAGGCTTTGTGACAGTGCCAAATTATTTAGCCATGGATTATCTAGTAATATGATAAAACTCAGGGTTAAACTGTTCTGCACATGAATTCTAACCAAATGGAAAAGAGCTTAGGGAATGGGTTTTTATTACACATGTATTCTGTTGATTTTGGTTACACACAATACTTTATTCTATTGCAAGATTCTAGCAATTACCTTACAAAATACTTATTAGGGGAAAAAAAATCCCAATTCTGAACTATTTAATGGTAAATGAAGGCCTATAAAGATAAATGTACAAAGAACATGACAACATGACAGTGGTCCAGTTTCCAACTACATGGCATAGATTTTTTTTTTTGGCCTTTTTAAAAAAATTCTGTCTTTCACATCATGCTTCCCGATCCCATCCATCTATACACCCCCAAATAAAACAAGACAATTTTAAGAGAAAAAAAGGAAAAAAAATAAAAAAGGAAGAAAATCTCATGGAAGCTGTAGTATGGCACAGAGTGGTTCACACAGTAAACCCCTTATCTATACATTTTTAAATCCTTCTTATTTTAAATTGTTTGGACCTATCCAATGTGCTATACATTTTTCCCTCTCCCCTTCCACCCACCCCTTGCCTTCCATGCCCCCAATTTACTCAGGAAATCTTATATTTTTCCCCTTCTTAGGAGGATCTATGTATGTCTCTCTTGGGGTCCTCTTTGCTACCTAGGTTCTCTGGGGTTGGGGCCTGAAGGCTGGTTGTCCTTTGCTTCCTCCATTGCTGGTGGGAGTAAAATCTTTGGAAGCTTTGGAAATCAGTAATGGTTTCTTACAAAATTGGGCATCAATCTACTTCAAGACCCAGCAATACCACTCTTGGGCATATACCCAAAGAATACACCCTCACACCACAAGGACATTTGCTCAGTTATGTTCAGAGTAGCATTATTGGTAATAGCCAAAACTTGGAAACAACCTAGATGCCCCTCAAACCAAAGAATGGATAATAAAAATATGATACATTTACACAATGGAGTACTACTCAGTGGTAAAAGACAATGACATCTTAAAATTTGTAGGCAAATGGTTAGAGATAGAAAAAGCCATCCTGAGTGAGGTAACTCAGACACAGAAAGAGAAATATGTACTTCCTCATAAATAGATAATAGACATAAGGCAAAGGATATCCATATATTTCTAGATGTAGCGTATATCACAAAGAATCATTGGTCTAGTCTGAGGTCCCTGGTTTCTGC